TGCACTTTTACGCACTCTTAACATATCTCCAACGGTAATCTCTTGGTTTCATAGTTACCTGCATGGGCGTCGACAGTGTGTTCGCATTGATGAGAGGTTCTCTTGTTGGTGTGACATTAATGCTGGCGTTCCACAGGGCGGCGTTTTATCTCCTCTTCTCTTCTCGATCTTTATTAATTCAATTTCCCGCAGTCTTACCTCATCCTACCACCTGTATGCAGATGATTTACAAATTTACACTCACCGGCAACTTGAAAACCTGCACGAAGCCATTGAGGTAATCAATAATGATCTCCGTCATATTTCGACGTGGAGTAAACAATTTGGTCTTAAGCTGAACGCAACGAAAACGCAAATGATTATTATTGGCAGCTCTAGAATGGTATCCAAGATAGATTGGTTTCGCTTGCCGCAGGTTATTATAGACGACACCTACATTAAAATTAGTGACAATGTTAAAAATCTAGGTATACTTATTGATAGGCAGCTATCTTGGGCACCTCAATTAGTTGAGACCAGCCGCAAATTGTTTGCGTCTGCCGCATCTCTCAGACGGTTACGTAATTTTTTACCTATTGCCACGAAAACTGCGCTTGCCCAAACTCTTCTTCTTCCAATTCTTGATTATGCTGATGCCTGCTATCTGGATTTAACCGAAGAACAGCTCAACAAACTCGAACGTCTACAAAACTTTTGCATCCGTTTCATTTATGGTCTGAGGAAATTTGATCATGTTTCCATTTATCGCAATGAGCTGAAGTGGTTACCTATTAGACTTCGCCGGAATGCTCATATTCTTAATCTTCTCTATGGCATCTTATTCATTCCTCACACACCACCTTATCTTAAGGAGCGATTTGAATTCGCCCATCAATACAACCCCCGACTTCTGCGCTCTTCTTCAACTCTCCAACTTAAGATGCCATTGCATACCTCCCAGTATTACGACAAGTCCTTTACTGTTCAGGCTATTCGTTTGTGGAACGCTTTACCTTTGTCTATTCAACAAGCGAAATCATTGAATATATTCAAAAATATGGTTAAAGTACACTACCTTAATTTAGTGTGACCTGGACTGCTTAGGTATTTTTATGTTTTGAAATTAAGTTTTAGAAATTTTTATATTTATAAGTATGAGAATATATAGTAGTTTACGATATTCATATATATGTATTGGTTTTATTATTTATTTATAAATATATGTATATTTGTATTTATTTATCAATTTTTATCTGTTGATTTAGTAATTCTTCATACACCACCGTCTTTTTCCTATGAATTATATAATTACTTCCATCCAAAGGTTGTCTGGCAGAAATCGCTTAAAGCGATAAGACCGCCCATTGTACCACCGCTTATTTTTAATTTAATTGTATTGTATTTGTTTCCTTTTTTGGTGTACAATAAAGAATTTTTGTATTGTATTGTAAAAATTGACGGGACGAACAAGTCGTGCGCCTGGTGGTAAGCGAAACGCCTATCCATATTGCAGTGCCACTCAAAATTTTAAATCGAAAAAATCGTAGGGGCACTGCCACTGTGCCCGCCACCCTGAGACATAAGCTGCTATGCCCCAAATACCTGTAATTTCACAAGTACCCGTACCCTTCCAAACTGCAACGCAGTAATACTCATAATTACTGCTTGGCGACAGAAATAGAAAAGGTGGCAGTACTTCCTATTTGCTCTACTGCAACTGAAGTCCATGCAATAAGAGCGAAAAAATGCCCGCGTTTCGTTTCCGCTAGGACCGCCGACGCGATACGCGCAATTCCGTGTCAATAAGTATAAGTGTGTGGCTCTATTAAGAAAAGCTCTATTAGTACTTCGGCAGGAAAGGGCATTGGCTCACTCATATAATACAAGGTCATTTCCCGGCCTCTGTAATGTACTATTTTTCGCTCACGAAAGAAGCTTATCTAACTGCTAGATAACGAAACCTATGAAACATTGCAATTCGATTTTGGGATATCAAAATCGCAAAGATTGAGTGGCACTGCCTATGCGTTAGTCACCTTGAGGCATATATTATATAGACATAAGTTGAAAAGTCCCATGTGCCTGTAATTTCACCAGCACCCTTCTTACCCTTCAAAACCGGAACATAGTAATACTGACATTCCTGCTTGGCGGCAGAAATAGGTAAGGCGGCAGTACTTCCCTGGACGAACTCTTTCACAAGGAGCTCTACTACAACTAAACTTACTGTAACTTGACTATAATGCCCTAAATGAAACCCACTGGCCTTTTTCTTTACATTAAAAGTCCCATGTGCCTGTAATTTCACCAGCACCCTTAAGGCCCATTTAGATGGAGAGAGTTTCTCGTCTCGAAGATACGATTATCGAAAGAATATAAAAAAACTTTCCTCGTCTAAACATTTGCGATTATCGACCGTCCACGTGAGCGATAATCTCCTCGCCTTTCAATATAACGTCTCCGTGTAAACAGAACTCGAAAGCAAAAATCGTATGTCGAGTTTCTGTGCCAGCCGTTTCTACCACGAGTGCAGCGCGTGAGGGTGTTTTGATTATCACTGCTTTTCTAAGACAAGAATTAATGGAACAAGAGCGAAAAAAAAATTTCAAATAACGGTGAGTGAGTGAGTGCCTCTGTGGTCGAATATAGCGTGGGCAATATAGTATTTAGGGTGCTCTCGTAACGAATATGGCACTCCTTTCTAAATCCAGGATGAAAAGTCGTGCCCGCACTTTTCAAATAATGGCAAGTTGGGTATCGTTTTTGAGGTATTTGGGGGTGCTCATTACGAACATAGCATTATTTCTAAATCCAAGATGGCCGACACGACTTTCAAGTAAATGTACTTTTCAATAAACACTCCTCACTAACTCCCCACTCACTCACTCACTCACCGACTCACTCACAACTCACTCACTCACTAACCACTCACTCACTCACCACTCACTCACTCACTCACTCACTCACTCATCACTCACTCACTCACGCACGCACGCACGCACGCACTCACTCACTCAGTCACTCACGCACTCACACACGCACTCACTCGCCCTATAAATTTATCATAATTGTCAGTTTTGTTTGTGTCAGTAGTTATACTTATAATTTAAAAAAAAATGATAAATCAAAATTATATTTCTATACAGTGCAATGAACTTAATATTATCAGCAGTTTCAAATTTGAATGGTTTTTGCATCATTTTGATATATCCATAGTTATACCGCAGTAATCACTGAACTCGAATGGCAATTCTCGCACACAAAACGGTTCGAACCGATTTGTACGATAATCGTATGAACTTGATAAAATGTCATACGAGATCGTGTTTAGACAAGTCGAAAACTCGTAAGCAAGAATCTCCTTACTACATATTTCTCCGTGTAAACAGTCGAGGAGGCGATTAAGTTGCTTACGAGTCTCGTATGACATAATCGTAGGCGAGATTTTAGTTCTTGCCTGAATGTAAACATTATGACACGATAATCTTATGGCGATTATTGCTTACGAGAATCGCCTACGAGTATTCGTCTCGAAGCGTGCGAGAAACTCTCCCCATCTAAATGGGCCTTAACCCTTCAAAACCGGAACACAGTAATGCTGACATTCCTGCTTGGCGGCAGAAATAGGTAAGGCGGCAGTACTTCCCTGGACGAACTCTTTCACAAGGAACTCTACTGCAACTAAACTTACTGTAACTTGACTATAATGCCCCAAATGAAACCCACTGACCTTTTCCTTTAAATTAAAAGTCCTATGTGCCTGTAATTTCACCAGCACCCTTACCCTTCAAAACCGGAACACAGTAATGCTGACATTCCTGCTTGACGGCAGAAATACGTAAGGCGGCAGTACTTCCCTGGACGAACTCTTTCGCAAGGATCTCTACTGTAACTTGACTATAATTCCCCAAATGAAACCCACTGACCTTTTCCTTTAAATTAAAAGTCCCATGTGCCTGTAATTTCACCAGCACCCTTACCCTTCAAAACTGGAATGGAGTAGCAGTAGAGCGCCTTGTGAAAGAGTTCGTCCAGGAAAGTACTGCCACCTTACCTATTTCTGCCGGGCACAGTGATAATGCCACTCAGATCTTTGTGATTTATAGCCCTGAGTGGCACTGAAACTGTTATAGATAGACAAGTCGCTTGCACACAGGCAAACGACTATTTCGTCCTGTCGCTTGGTATCATAAAAAAACACTTTTTAGTTTAACTAAAACATACAACTACACACATAACAAGTCTGAGAGGGTGTGGGGAATGGTGTCTCCAGTCCATCACAAGGGTTGCAACATTTAATATTTATCAAGTAAATTCTGCTCCCATGTGTTGAGATAATAAAAAAAAATAACACTTCTTATTGCTTTGAGTTGGTTTTTTAAAATATATCGGAAAAAAAGGACAACACAAATACGGGTTTTAATCAAATTTAGAAGCAACAGACCGAGACATGATAAGAACACGAACCAATCTCTTCGGCATGCAGTCATAAAATTTCAACGAATTAACCGATTGCTTTGTAAGAATGATTGCTTTCATAAGTGAGTAAAGTTTTATCGATTTTTTCTTGTTACATATTGTTTGAATCCATCGGGTATATAACCAGAAATAGAGACGAAATGTCATTTAATTTGTTTGAAAACTATTCTGCCAAATCATTACATTAGCCCGAATTCGAAACAATTGATGGGTGTCGTCAATTGTTTCACTTCAAATCGACCAATTTAACTTAAGCTTTACTATAACGGACGAAAATTGCAAAATTACATATTTAATATTTAATTACCGAAGAAATGTGATTCCGTTCGTTTTGTAATTAGATATTTTACTGTTTCTCCCACACCACCGAATAGAACAGCCCCCATTGTTAAAGATATTATCTTTAATACAATAAATACAGAATTTTTTGGTATATACGAAGACGTACACACAGGTCAGTTGTTGGCGCTGTACTATTTCAGTTTTCTAAATTTGTGATTTCATCGCAAACGAGAGTTGATATTTAAAAGTGATATAAGGCCTATTTACCTGATGAGTTGTCAAGGATAGATGGCCCGTAATTCGTCTCTATTTCTGGTCTTATATACTCGATGTTTGAATAATTGAGTACACGTTTACCGGCTGATGACGATGAATTCATATGTCTACCTATATACAGGGTAATTTTTAAAATACTAAGAATCATGCAGGACTATATCACTAACATCATAAACTACAACTTTTGTTCCATGATTTTTAAATATTCATCAGAATTTCCTTTCATACAAAAAATAAATCGCTCTAAACGGTAATAACTTTGTGAAGCACAGTAGTGGAAAACGTCGCGGAGGACCCTTGTTTATTTCGACCAAACACAGATGTAATAAGTGTCAGATAGTATAACAAAAACTGAAAAGTTTATTTTTGGTAAATTTATTACGTTTTGTAAAAAGTCGTGCAACAAAAGTTGTTGTTTATGATTTATTTATTGTATAGGAAAACCAACATGATGCATATACAATTTTAGCAAATGTACAATACGTTACAAATTTTAAAGTTATATAGATATACAACATACTTATTGGCATATATAAGAAAATTAATTATTAAACTACTCTTTATAATCATAATCCCTACTTTCTTTATAGTTAAAAAGAAAAAAGTAAAAACAGTATAATCCCTACATTAGAATAAGAATTTAAACAAACGATATGCTACAAAACACATCATTCAGATTTTGAATATTTTTTTTTTAATTTTATTTTTAAAAATAGTTAGCATGTCATGAAATATGTCGAGATTCATTACTTTAAATATATTCTTGTACTTTTTTATAACTCTGTTTACAGGACCACTTAAACCTAAATTTATCCTAGAAAATCTGTTAGTAATATAGAAAGAAAATGATGTTAGTAATATAGTCCAGGGAGGTTTTTAGTATTTTAAAAATAACCCTGTATATAGTAATAATTATTTTCCTTACGTAATTATAATTTGTTTACTCCATTAGGGGGTCGATTCAGAATCTTACGATAACCCAGTTGTCGACCGATTCGATTTGATATAGTACTATTTCTTTTCATTTTTATTCACGACACCCCTCGAAACCGATCCGAAATGACATCAAACCCATACTACTAGAATTTCTCGACCGGCAAAGGCTACAAACGTTATTCAGAACACAATTATCGAACGAAAGTTACCGAACGTATTGTAAGCAAGAATGTAACATGGAAATTTCTTATTATTTTAAACAAAGTCTGGATTTTCTGCAATTTTATTAATTTATTTTACTGCAAAACTAATGCATTCCTATATTTTAGGCCTGTCAAGTCCTCAAAATGTGTTTTCGTTTCATTTTCATTTGTCTAATTATCTATATCACCAATTAACTCCGAAGACGCTGTTAGATAACGATATCTCTTTAACTCGAATGTTCTGAATAAAGCGCCCTTATATTCGAGAACGATATCTAATCGAACGATTCGATTAAAATATAGAAGAGTTCTTAGTTGGGGTCTAGGATGGGTTATATTTGCATCTCAGTAGAACCAGTTTGGGAAATAATCTTTTCTAAATTGATTCTGGTCTGGTTGCTTTGGTCAGTGCCCTAGGGAGCTCCGTTGCTCTGGGACTCATTGAACAAGAAACTTCCTAGTCTGAGATCAGGTAATTGGTGTGATTGTCTGGTACATTTTTATTGTTATTTTGTATGAATGTAATGCCATTAACGCCAAATAAAGCGGATTTTATTTTATTCATTTATTTTTATCTTCACGCGCTTTATTTATTTTCAGTTGTCCTCTGTCTTCAAGCAACAAGCGTCCAAACGTTTCTTTGGAAGGATATCTATCCTTTTATGGAAGAGCTAAGCTGCAAAAACTGCCAACGAGTATATGTGCCTATATGTGCCACGAATAACCGAACTTTCGTCAATATGTGCAAACTGTATTGTTACAATGCACGTCACACGAAAGATCGTCGCGTAAAATTTAAATAGTAAGTTTTATTTTATTTATGATACTAAGTGATGGGACGAACAAGTCGTGCGCCTGATGGTAAACGACACGCCTGTCCATAACAGTTGCAGTGCCACGGCGGAAATAAGTAAGCTTCCCTGAATCAACTCTTTCACAAGGAGCTCTACTGCTACTAAACAGTAGTAAAGAATTGCACTAAATACCAACTGGTCACTTTGAATTCAGTTGAAAAGCGTGGCAAGAATAAAAGAGCATAACTCAAAAGGACTGCTAAACGCCACACTATAGATCGTAACTTTGAAAAAGGTCAAAAGTCCGTCGAATATCTATATGGCGCTGATCAATCGCCTGGAAATAAATTATATCATGTAAATGGCGTGGATAATAATTAATTCCTCTTTAATATGAAACGCAAGTTGTAAGTAATTCTTATTTCGTTTCACTAACTCGGAAAGGCTTTCTATCTCATAAGATAATATATGCGTGCAAAGGCGTTTTTCGCACGCTGGCATGATAAAGGTTTTTGAAATTCGAACTTGATAATGGACTAAGATGCACCTAACTTTTTCTTTCGATAAAAAAAGATAATGACACGTTCAACTACGCAATTTGTCGTATAATACCTATTTATGTTAAATAAACCCGTTGATATATTTTATTCTTATTATTGCTGACATTAAATTGACAATGATAAGCGATTGTGTTTATTAGGTTACTTTAAATCGTCGAAGAACTAAAATAATTTAAATAACCACTTAATCACAAAAAATTTAAGTATAAGCAAGAGTAAAAATTGATGAGGTGTAAATTCGGAACGCATCCGAAGATTAACTTTCTGTTATATTTAAAAAAACTTATGTCCAACCGTTTTTTTTTCGTCTACCATTTTCCTCGCTTTAGTGACGTGAAAAGTTGTGTGTTTCGCTCGGTAGCAAAGTTGTTTTGCGTCTTGTGCTTTGAAACTCTCGCTACGCTCAGGAATCTATTTTTGAATCAATCTTAACTTACTTCGCTTGCTCAGGGTTCAATACAAGCACTCGCGTCAAGCAACAACTTTGCAGCCTTGCGTAACAAATAACTATTGTAACACGCAATGCCACCTTTTGATACTCATACTTATTGTTAAAGTTCAGAAAATAATTTTAGCTCATGGTCAGTATCGAATAATATTACAAGGAAACAGTTATTTGTATATATACAAATAACTGTTTCCTTGTAATATTATTCGATACATATATGTATATATATATATATATTATTTGTGTGTGTGTATATATATATACATATATATTTTCCTCATTTAGTACGAGGAAAATGAATGGTAGATGGAAGAAACAATTGAACCACAAAACATCATTTTTTTAATTAAAAGAAAAAGTTTGATGCGTTCTGAATTTACACCACATCAATTTTTATTCTTGCTGTACTTTTATTTTGTGTGATTAAGTGATTATTGAAATTATTTTAGATCTTCAACGAATTAAAATCATTTAATAAACACAATTAGTTGTCATTATCAATTTAATATCAACAATAATAATAATGAAATATACTAACGGATTTATATTACATAAATAAGTAATGTACAACAAGTCGCTTATTTGAACGTGTCGTTATCTTTTTTCATCAAAGGAAAAAGTTAGGTGCACCACAGTCCATCGTCAAGTTCGAATTTCAAAAACCTTTTGCGCGCAGATTTCTAAGTAGAAAGAAAGCCTTTCCGAGCTAGTGAGGTGAAAAATAATTTTCACGTACGTCAGTATAGCCTTGCGTGGCGGGAGTAAAATTGATTCTTTAATCCCAAGGGAGTAAAAAGTACGTAATTTCTTTCGAGCGTTAGTGTGTTTATTCTGTGTCTGATTGGACAAAAAATACCGCAAGAACTTCAAAATTTTGGTTCGTAACTTTGTTGTAGAGCGAACACATAGAAATATTTTATTTTTCTCGCAATCGAAGTGAAAAGAAAAGTTTTCAACTCGCAACTAAAAGCCAATACAAAACCCTCGTAGTAATATACACCCTCTCTACAGCTCGGGTGTCTAACCACCTCGGGTATATATTGGCTCGTTTTAGTCCCTCGATCAAAAATATATTATTATAAATTAACGCTGGCATGGCGTGGGTAGTGACGCTAGTGACGCTAATCATAAATAAAAAACGCAGACCACATATTCTTGTCTTTCTTCCGTGTAATAAAGAATAGCCGGCAGTATCCATAAAAATCTGTACAATAGGCGTTATCTTGTTGATTTATCTGTTATGACTTGAAATTAGACTAGCTTTGGTAAATTAAACGTAACATAAATGAGTTACAAAAATAACTACTAGATACTCATCGTTACATCTGGTGTATCAGTGGGTACTAAATATGATACATTATAATATAATACATTAACCACATATACACAACACTATTACGTATTAAATATAGATATATATAACGTCATACTACCAATTCGTACCAACTTTAAATATTCTCGAATTGTGCAAATGACCAAATGATATCTGAATACATCTGACTAATCGTTTGATAGTTTTAATTAACGTTTGTTTCAATTCAGTGTTAAAATCTACGAAAGGGTGAATATAACAGCCCCGCATTAAGGAAACCGTATATCGCGGGTGCCATGGACACATTCATAGACGTCCACAAATTACACCCAAACTCACGAGAGAAATAAATGTAGGCCATACAAATATTTCTCCTGTACGTGGCAATCCAGTATGGTAACCGTTCGGTCACGGAGACAGTTGATAATACATAAGTTGAAATACCTCATGTGCCTGTATTTTAGTAGCAGTAGAGCTCCTTGTGAAAGAGTTCGTTTAGGGAAGTACTGCCACCTTACCTATTTCTGCCGCCAAGCAGTAATATCAGCAGTACTCCGGTTTTGAAGAGTAAAGGTGCTGGTAAAATTACGGTTACATTGAACTTGTCAACTTATATGACTCAGGGTGAAAGGCGCAGTGGCAGTGCCCGTCAGATCTTTGCGATTTAAAGCTCTGAGTGGCACTGCAACTGTTAGGGATAGGCGTGCCACTTATCACCAGGCGCACGATACGATACGACACGACACGATACCACACGACACAATATGATGGTGTAACTTACCATCAGGCGCACTACTAGTTCGTATAGTCACTTGATAATATATTTAAAAAAAACACCAAAAATATAATAAGGTTCGTTCCATATCTCAGTTGAGAGAACGTCGGGCATGATATGCTGAAGGCGCTGATTAGTGCTGGTTGGGAGGAATTTTCTTAGTGTTCGGTCATTGTACATATTAAAAATTGTAACAAATTAATATGTTATGTTTGTTTATTACAGCGATGGGCCTTGTACTAAATTCTCAAGGAGATCTATCGATGGCAATTTGGAATTCAATTTTACGGCACTAAGTGAAAGTCTCGGTGCCAAAATACCATTAAATGAAACAAACCGCAACGTCACTAACACTGTATTTAAGAAACAACAGAGACAGAAATAGAATACACTGAAAAAGATGATACGACGTTCAACATTTCCAATTGGATAGACGAAAATAAATTAAATGATAGTTATATAAGATCCAATATTGATCATAACTACAAATTTAAATAAACCGATTATATTTAATTAGAACTCTTTTATTTATTTACCCTCATATAAATGTTATGATAATACCTTCACCCCGAGCTCAAAGAGATAGACCAAATTGATACAGAACCCTATTACACACACATCAAAAATGTATAGGGATCAAGCACATTTTTGCTAATTACTGAAAAGTAATTTTTTTAACGAATTTCAATAAACCATTATATTTAATTAGAACTCTTTTATTTATTTACCCTCATTTAAATGTTATGATGATACCTTCACCCCAAGCTCAAAGAGATAGACCAAATTGAAAAAGAACCCTATTATACACACTTCAAAAATGTATAGGGATCAAGCACGTTTTTGCTAATTACTGAAAAGTATTTTTTCTACGAATTTCAATAAACGTTTATGTTTAATCAGACGTCTTTTATTTATTTACCCTCATTTAAATGTTATGATGATACCTTCACCCCAAACTCAAGGAGATAGATCAAACTGAAAAAGAACCCTATTATACACACATGAAAAATGTGTAGGGATCAAGAACGTTTTTGCTAATGACTGAAAAGTATTTTTTTCTTAGTGTTCGATAATTTCACAAAAAGAATTAAATTAATGAAACATCATGACATTCAATAAAAACTTAAAAATTAGGATCATTAGTTTTTTTTATAATATCAAGTGACGGGAGTTTAATAATAATAAACCTGGGCTACTGAAAATAGTAATGTACTCTGAATTTTCAAAGTCAAAGTCCCTAGTTAAAGCTTGCTACGAAAAAGTCAGCTGTTCAGAAGATTGTGGCAAGGATACTGCACCGTAACAGAGCAAAACCAGGCTTTTTATGTTTCTAAGTTCTATAATACATGAGTCAGTTGCCTTGATTTCAAACACGTTTTACTGAGCATTATTTATTTATTTTTTATTATTTCTTTGGGGTCAGCAAACAGTTACACGTTACAAATAGTACATAGATATAAATAATAAGTAGTGACTAGTAAAGTACATAACCGTTACTAATACGCCGCGGTAACCTAATACCTACCACCTCATAAGTAGAGGGTCGTGGGTTAGAATCCGGGTTTGCACTCTTGAAGTTTTCGCAATTTATGTACGAAATTTCCAATGAGTTACAATTATTAATACAAACATTTCGATATTTCGATCTTTCGATCACAAATAAAAATTCCTTCGATCTAGAAGACAGGAAGATGGTGGAGTAATTTCACAAAAATAAATGAATATCATAAGTAAAACAACATAATATTCATTACAATGATTTTCACCATGAGTTTTTCGGTGAAGAAAAATATCGTGAGGAAACCTGCACACATCTGCAAAGCAACTTAATGATGTGTGTGAAGTTCCCAATCCACATTGGGCCTGCGTGGGAACTACAGACCAAACAAAACAATGCGAGAGAAGGTCTGTGCCCAGCAGTGGGACTACATTTGGCTACCTATGATTCTTTATTATTAATTAAGTTTTCGAGAACGGTTACCGGACACCCATGTTCCGTTACACGCCGCAGTCCATACGTGTAAATAAATAAATAGTGGTTGATTATATACGTTAGTCTATAAGGTTACGTATCTATGGATCTTTATATAGAATCGGGAATAAATTTATTTTGTAAATTGAGTATTTGCTTATACATGACTTAATTGAATTAATTAAAGATGGTATAGTCACCAGGATAGATAGGGAAGAGCCTCGATGGCCTGCTCATATAAAATAATGAATGTTGGTAGATAGATAGCACAAAATTATAGAGGGAATGTGAATGGAGACGTGGGGAGAAGTAGACATATCTCGATGGACATATCTCAATCAGATTGAGGATGTCCTTAAAATAAGCCGGGTCAAAAGCACTAATCATAAATTTCAGTAGCAGTAGACCTCCTTGTGAAAGAGCTTGTCCAGAGAAGTAGTGCCACCTTACCTATTTCTGCCGCCAAGCAGTTATGTTAGCATTACTGTGTTTCGGTTTCGAAGGGTAACGGTGCTGGTGAAATTCAGGCACATGAAACTTGTCACCTTATATCTCAGGGTGATAGGCACAGTATCATTGTCCCTCAGATCTAAAGCTCTGGGTGGCACTGCAACTGTTATGGATAGACTTGTTGCTTAACATCAGGTGCACGACTTCGTCGTGCCATCACTTGTTATCATAAAAAAACGGGCACGTATTATGTAGACTGATAGGAATAGAGGAAGCGAAGGCAGCTAGGAGCGTATTAGGTGCCTCCACCTGTTACGCCGTAGTCTCTGCCTACCTCGAGGGGAGACAGGCGTGATGACATGTATGTATGAAAATGAAATGCATGAAAAACAACCAGCAATTTGAGGAGTGTGTAACTAGAGTCAAACCTTAGCAATCGCTAATATCATCTCAATCATACCACATACAAACATTTTCTACAATAAAATCATCGACCGCTGGACAATACTAGACTTTCTGTAAACACTAACTCTCGGTCTATAAAGTTAGTATGCGCCCGCCATCATTTCGCTAACAATGTTTCCCATCCTGCTTTTTCGCTGTCCGACTTTGGAGTTAAAATTCGCGACAGAACGGCAGACAAAAAATATACACAGAATGTTTCAAAGAGTTAAATTAAACTACAGTCTTGGTATCTAGATTAAACTGAAAGTTAGAGTCACCGCCATTTCGAATTAATAACATTGTGATTACGGACTGTGTACAATCAGGTCAAAATCTCACATTCAGTTGCTCTTTTCACAAATTTCTGTAAAACTAAAATGTATTTTTATTTACAATTATATGCTAGGTTGAAAGAAAGAAAACGCTCATGCAAAAACAATCTAAATCTCACAACAGACATAAATCGATTCTCAGCGTTGGCATGCAACGAGCGTTCGAGGCAGTAGATATGGTGATGTCACGCGCGAAGTCAAACGAGAATGAGATATTGTAATATAGTGGTTTTCATTTGAAAATGGCAAAATATTAACATAAATTAGACCTTTGCCAAAAAATCCTTTCGTTACCTTCACTTATTTCAATCAAAAGAAACTTCACAGTTCTTTACTTAAGTGCACTAAATATCTTATCGATCATGTATTGAATACATTTGATAAAAACTAAAAATTAAGAGTCTTTCGAATTTACACTTCTAGTGTTGCCGAACAAAAGATTTTGTCGAAAGTAGAGATTTAAGCTACATTTTCTGTAGACATTGAAGATGCTACATTATTTCGTAATCGCAATATCTCGTAGCGCACGAGAATCATCCCCTAGGATGGGAGACATATACACAAATTGATACACGCTTAAGTTGGTGACGGAGCAGACAGACTTTTGTTCGCCCTAATGAGGGTAGCGTAGCACAAAAAATGACAGGTTTTATCTTCAATGGACTGTGCGCATTATGTTCATTAAGATTGAGACGGCTCATTTCTCTGGCACGCTACGGTCAGCTTAACTGGGTAATGGACTAAACGTTTATATAAAGAGGTCATTCATTTAGTTCACGTTATTGTATCACGTACTTACGCATAGAATTCAAGTTGGAATGTTTCCTGCTTCAAATTACAAATTGCAAAGCCGAAATGTACATCGATTAGGTATAATTAGAGAATGACAGTATTTACAAATCAATCAATTACTATCTATTCAAATCTAAATTCAAATTTTAAATTTTATGTGAAATTACTCCACTATTTTGTTATAACTATTAACACAAAGATCGAATACTCAGAAAAAATTTCTTCAATCCGGCCGGATTCGAACCGACGTCTTCTAGCATACTGTGCCAGACGCTATACCAACCAAGCCACGGAACGGACCAGCGAACCTCAGGAGTTTTTGTAGGTGCTTGTTGTCGCGTCTTTGTATTTGGTTTTTCAAGGACTTGTTAGCCGTAGCGTCTTTGAATATCAATTCAATAAAAATTTAAATACAATGAATAGCGACATCTCTAGCCGGGGCTGGTAGCTGTAAAGGTATCTAACTGGGTGACAAAATACTTAGATTTACTTTAGACTTTAAAATTTATGGATGTATAATATTACGACACGACCCATTTGTTTTTCAAAATTCGAAATTAAAAAAAATGAAATCTAACACGATCGAAAGGATCGGTGTCGAGTGCAACTTCTACCTCTGGCAAACTCGCGTCAACGCTCAATGCAAAACAAAGCAGTTTCGAATTAACGATATTATATTAAGTAAACATTTTTATTTTCGTTTTGTCAAAACTTTGTAGCTGCCCCTTGCATTACTAGTTATAAATCTAAAAACTTATAGATGCGACTCGATTATATTTTTTTCGAGAACGACGGAAGAAAGGGATTTTCAGAAAAATACTTTTGGTTTGTCTATGAACCTATCGTTTTTTTTCAATGTATTCGCTATGCTAACATTACCGTAAAATGACACTAAAGGTAATAAAAAAATATATGCGGAAAATTGTAATCACGACTGCATACTGTGAAGATTCACGAACATGCGTAAGCGGCTAGTAAGATAGCTGTAATGATTACAAGTGAATAAAATAATGTCCGTATGTATTTTTTGGGTGCTGAAAGTAATGTAGCTTTTTTGTAAATTAATTTAGTCACCGTGAAAGCCAATTTGTTGTTGTTGTTGTTGAAAGTGTTTGTAGTTTCAGCACCCTTACAAACCTTATGAAACACCCGCATAAGATGAACCTTCCCGATAACCGTTTATTTTGAAAGACAGCTTATCCCTTTATGGGATAAGCTCGCCTTCGTTTGTTAAAACTTATAATTTCGTTTTGTTATATAATAAAGTGTTTACATACATACAGTCTGTAATATTTTTTTAAATAACATGATCTCAAACTTCAGCATACCTAAGCCATAATTAATTTAGAGAAATTAATTTTCAAATTGGTCCTACCGGGAATAGAACCTGGGGCCTCCTTATCCAGAGGCCACGGTGCAAACCGTTAAGCCACTGAGGGTGCCAATTTTCTAAATGTTATAATTATATGTAAAGATTCCCTTTTAATTGCAATCTTGTCTCATCTTACTTT